AATTCTTTTTGCGATGTTATTTATTTATCTCGTTTATTTTTTTTAGCTTGTTTATTTGTATTCCTTGTCGCTTTTTTCTTTCTTATATTAATTTAGAATTGGTTCTTCAAAATTTTTTATTTTTTTCTTTAATATGTATTGTTAGAAAAAAAATTATAAAAAAATCTTGACGAAGTCTCCAATCCGATAGAGACCGACGTCACCAAAAAAAAAATGCCTAAAAAATTTAGTGAAGCCTCATACTTGGTAGGGACCGATGCAACAAAAAAATAAATAAATAAATTCGACAAAGTCTTCTATCTAATAGGGACTAACGTCACCAAAAAGAATATTCAAGATTTTCGACGAAGTTTCCTATTTGATAGGGACCGACGTCACAAAAAATACCTTTTAATTAAGACGTCTTTCGACACACCGGTTGTGTCAAGGCTTTTAGTGGATCCGATGTTTGAACCAACGTGTCGCTTGACGAAGAGGACCGACGATCATTTCAATAGGATGCCATGCCCAAACTAAATTTTTTATTAACTTTGAAAAAATAGGAGTTTAAAATTAGAAAGTAGTTTGACATGGATTTTTAGGAGATGAATTTGGAACTAAACTAGACATGGTACCTTTCGTTAGAAAAGACACTTTTGGGGGACTAAATATCTTCCCAACGGTGTAATCAATTCCTTACTTTAAGGATCTCCGAACCGAGTGCCTATTTTTAGGTTCTTAGTTCCTTCAATACTAGGTGGCGACTCCCGACTTTGTAAATAAACTTATAATAACCAATTAACTCTTAGATTTAATCTTTGGGGAGTCCCGTCCGACGTCGTGTAGTGATAAGAGTAACGGAGTTAAGGGTAGAGATTGAAGTCATTTGACATAAAAAGAAAAAAAAATGAATGTAACCACAATAAACTATTTAATTTCTCTTATGACATTATTGATCCTATATTACAATAAGCTCGTTATTTGAATTTCTCTTGAGTATCACCAACGTAACAAGTTCTTCAATTAGATTCTAACAATAATACAACCTAGAATAACCTCTCTAAATTTAATGCACGACGTCTTTAAAAACTAGGAAAATAAACCAATGTAAGCAATAATCTCACAAGCTCGGAATATTTAACCTAGGTTATGTTATTCATAATGGTAAAGACAAAAATTTGTTTGTAATCATCTACCACTATTCGCTACTAAGTGATTAAAAAGATGAAAATTTTACATATCACAATTTCTAGATCTAGTAATAGAAATGTATAAAAATCAATTAGCTTGCCAAACCAAATTAATCGAATAGAAATCATAAATCAAATAAAGCCAAATAATATAATCAATCCCAATAATGAGAAAAGAAGAACATTACTAGATTACACCATTGACATGCCTATGAGAGCTTTGAAATCCCTTTGAATTGATACAAAGAATTTAGCCACACATGTTAGTCGAGCACTAAAAAAAGGAAAAAAAATAGAATAGTTTGTTCTCTCTAAAAACCCCTTGCAATGAACCTATATGTATAGGGCGATATAATCTGCTAAGGTAGAACACAACACACACGACCGTGTGTGTTACATCCATACCGACACTAACTTCGAGTGGGAGTTTGTGGGTTTTGAACTAGACACGGAGTCGTGTGTCCTTTGTTGCAAGGCCATGTGTCCTCCTTTCCTCGTTACACATCACACAACCATGTATAATCTTTGGCAACATCACATACGGGCGGTAACTTTTTTACATAGCCGTGTGTGTTCTTTTGAGGAATGAGCTTGAATGGACTTGGTACCCATCATATATTTGGGTTAGGCTTATTAGTTTTTGTTTCCATTTTTCTCGCAAAACCAATAAACATCATATTGTCCTTAATCGACTTAATAAGGCACAAAATGTATTAATAAGTTTAATATAAAAAGAAATAAAAATTATATAAATTATGCACCGATCAACTAGCTACCATCAATCCTCATATAAGACAGTCCATGTGCCTAAAGGTAGTCGGAAGAGCTATCCATGAGGCTTGGATAACGATGGCACATGTTGTACATACGTAGGGATAGTTTTGTAATTTTCACTTTTGAGGGCATTTTCATCATTTCATAGTGACCTCATTATCTCTTCAATGGATATTCATTTCTCCATTGTGGCCGACTAAAAATAAATCGGTCTTTATTGGAGTTGAAGAAACTAGAGCCGACTTTCAAAAGGCATTTAAGTAATTTCAAATTTTGCCGACATCTTAAGTGGCCGGTTATAGTCTTTTGACGACTAGGTAAGTTGTTGAAACTTTGAATTTCAAATCGTCCCATCCGAGAATATTTTGGAATTAATTGCAAGTATTGAAAAAGTTCATTATTTGAGTGAAGTGTTTTTATTATGACTCGCTTGAGTCTTATTAAGTATGCTAATTTGCTTGCCAATTTTTGCCATTTCCTCATTTGTGTTTGAAAACCAAAATGCTAGGATTTGCGCTCGTCCAAATTATGATTTGAACCATTTTTAAAAAATTTTTTCCTTTGGCCAATTTTTCCTTTTGCCGGCTTTGCCAAATTTCTTAATGTATGTCTTGTGTGCTTGAAAATCACGATGCCCAAATTCACGTCGATCCGAACTTTGATTAGGACCTTTTTTTTCTATGTTTTTCGTTTTTATCACTTTTGTCTAATTTTCCATTTTTATTTATTATCTAATTTACCATTTTTGTTGTTTTTATCTCTTTTGTCAAATTTATCATTTGGCTATTATTGCCTATTTTATTTATTTGCCTATTGTTAAGCCATGTTTTCATGCATGCCATTTAGGTCACACTAGCCATATATTCTTGCACACTCATCATGTTCTTTTCATTTCATTTTCATATCTATTCGTTTTAGAGTGAGGACGAGGCCCTTTACAGGCTAAGTCCTAAATCACTCGTCCGATTGAAAAAAGATTAGGAATAGACATAAGTTTTTCATCATAAAAAATAAAAAATCAAGTTAAAATAGCATGCAATACAGACTTATCTTAAGCATGATGGGATAAGGTGATTATTAATTCTCCTTATACGTAATAAACCTCTTATCTAGAATGTAAACGGACCAGTTATATAGTTTTTTAGTAACCGTAATACCAGTGTGACGATGCTATCATTTTTACCCATTTCCCTATTTCCCATAATCGTCGCTTTTGCCTCGATATTGCCTTACGACAAATGGCAACTTTGCTTAGAGACACATTTAGGGTTGGGCTTTGTATAAAATTTTGAATTTAATTTCCGTTATGTGATGAATTTTTATGCACGTATGTCAATTGACATAATTTGCCTATGTTTTTAAATTATGCCTTTTGTTTGCCATTATTTGCATGTGTATTTTTGTTTCGCCTTTTTTTTATAGCTTTTTCAGCTTAGTTTGTATTTTTGTTTATGTTTTTTAGATCGAATATGGAATAATGCTTATGCACATACTACATTCATCGTTATTTTTTTATGTATATCACACCCTTGCCTCATGACTTAAGGAGATAGTAGTATTGCCCCAATGGGTTTCACTCCGGATAAACAATCACAAAATTTCAACTCTTCTTGCAAGTTGCCATTGCATGATGGATAACTAATAATTTTTTATGTTTATCCCTCATCGCTTTTGGTGGACCCGACCATTCTATTATAATTCATTGAGCTAAAAGAGACTCGTTTAAGACTTAGATAGATCATATCATGTTCACATAATGACTTATAACAAAACCTTAGGATCATCATTTCTAACTAAATTTACTAGGCAAGTCAAATGTATTGAAATCTTGATCGAACAATTTGGTCATGAATGTTTCAAGATGGATGATAAGAGGATTTAAGTCCAATTTCTATAATGTTTGAATATTAAAGAGATTTCGAATCTCGGTAAGAATATTTCAAGAGTTACCGATGAAACTCAATTTCATCTTTAAACTCGGTTGATAATAGAAGCAATCCCTACATTAAGACATCCCAAAGGGTAATGATGAAACCTAATTTCATTTTTAAACTAATTTGGGATAATTTTAAAATGTTAAAAAATCGATGATTGAATCCTCTTACCATCCTCACTTGATGGCTATTCCATATTCGAGTCTCAAATGTCATTTTATTTTTAATACATAGTTTATACCTTATGTTTGTTATTTTCTCGTTTAAATAAAAACATAGGTCATCCTGTCAACACTATAGTTCCTTCGTGCATTTTGCACAATTTTAATAGTTTGGAGGCAAACATGCCTTTATACCAAAGTTAATACAAGAATAATTGAAGTAAATTGGTTGGGTCTGGTCTTCTTTTGGAAATCGGATCTGGTGTTCTTCGGGAGTCTCCTCAATCCCTGCGCGTCAAGCTATCATTCTACTTGGGTTGAAAATCTTTTGTAAGCTGTAACTTGGGCTCAAGCCCATTGTTTTAAATGAAACTTATTCATCTGAAAAATAAAAACGGAAAGCAATTTATCTTTAGGGAAAAAAAAAGGAGAAAAAGAAGAAGAAAGAAGGCTGTATTTTTTGCCAATTAAGAAAAATTAGATGAATGAGCATGTAGTTCAACTAGTATTCATCTGTTCTTCCATTAAAAATCTAGAATTTAAACAAATATTGTTTTGGGCAATGCCAAAATCTCTTGGATAGTTAGTTTCATGATCAATGCTGGCATACTAAAAAATTATGTGAACTATCAAAAACTGAATTACAAATTCCAGTTTAATGGGTTGGTCCATCCTGTGGACCATGTTTTTCAGCTAGTTTACTTAGAAATTCCTATTCAATAAGATTAGAGAGGTTCATAATTAACACAGACATGACCAAAATATAAGGATTTCTTTCATCAACAAGCGCACACAAACACATGTAGAGCAATAGGAAGCCGTGAACTGCCAAGATACAAGGATAAGTTAAATCAGTTTCCCCTCAAATCATTCATAAAGCAAAAGGCATTAAATGAAGAGTTTCAGACAAGAGAGGTCCTACAACTATTAGGGATATCTGATGCTGTTGGCTAGCAATCCACCTATAGCGTTGAAGTAGGAGGCTTTTTGGAAGATAGGTTAACGAACTCCATGGCCTGTGCTCTAACTTCAGCTGGGTAGTCAGCAATACTACCAATTCTTGGGCCAGCTCCACTTGACCAGTTATTAAGATCAAACATAGTTGTCTTTGGTTCCTCGAGACCCTCAGATAAAGTCTTTTTGTTTTCATCTTTGGTTTCATTCTGCTCAGCTTCTGGTAGTTTAGAAACCTTCTCTTCATGGGGAGTTTGTAACGTTGGAGGCTCCAAGTTCTTTGGAACTTCAGTCATCTTACCACTCTCACTTCCACTCCGTTTTGCAGCATATTCGCTGGCGCCGGAATATTCAATTGCTTGGTTTACCTGCAAAGAAAAAAATGCCAAAAACAAAACATCAGAAAAAATATTGTTGGTATTGTAACTGAAGGATGAGTTCCTTGTGTTTCCTTTGGGAGTGGACTAAATTGTAGGGCGAAACACTTCACTTGTGATCTTTTCTAAGACATTTGATAAAATTGACACGAAGTAATTACCTGGACTTCATCAAGATTCACTCCACTTTCCTTGAAAAAAGATAGAAAGCTTTCAAATTTGTCTTGTGTTGGTCGGTAATGTCCACTCATTGGAGAAATGAACTGCAGAGTTGAAATCAATAACAGAAGTCAAAAACAATTTATCCATAAATCTTTTCAAGGTAAAAATTGTGAATAACACTACAAATCTCTGAAAGAAGAATCTCACAAAGAAAACAACCTAAAAATTCTTCAACAAAATTTCCCAAAAACAAAATTTCACAAAAGTACCTTCAAAGAAGATCTTTCAAAAGACTGTACAATAAAATCACTCTAACATGCATCAAGGGCCTCCCAAAAATCTACTATACTGGTAAAAATTTCTGAAGCATGCCTCGAACATTACCAAAAAAAAAAAAACACCGATAAAACTAGAGGTTTTCTGCAGGGTCAAGCTATCAAATTCTTAACATACCTTAAGAATTCCATTCTCTACTATCAGCGTCCCAGCAGCTATGGTAGCACCTCCGGCGAGGAAACTCGAATGATGGAACTTTCCTCTCTTTTTCTGGAAGGATAACAAAAAATGCATCAAAATTTTCATAAATAAGAAACAATGGAACTAAGAGAAAACTATATCTATCTTTATTCCTATACAATTAACCTCTTACCTGTCCAGCATATAGTCTCTTTGTGGGACTCAAAACAAATATCCACTTTCCCTTCGAATCAACAAGATTTTTGGACTGTCGGTGAAAAAATTTCCCTTCAATAATGAAGCATTCATAACGTTCTCTTTCTTGCTGATTTGCAAAAAGAAATAAATGGCAGCACGTCAGGAACTTCAAAAAAAAAAAATAAATAAATAATAATAATAATTCTGTTTATATATATATATATATATATATATATATTGAAAAAATAAAATTACGTACAGGTCCTAGATACTTGATGCTATTTTCTTGAAGTTTAGGCCTTGGACATTCTTGAACATCAACCTCTTTGCCATCTCCTACATCCAGCCTAAAAAGAGTGGCAAATTACAACTTTAACGAGACATGAATAAATTGCTTTAAAAAAAAAAAAAAAAAAACTAAAAATATGTCTTTTTGGAAAAATTTTGTGACAAAGAAATAAGAAACTACAAATTTCCAATCTCGGAAGATGAGAAGGAAAAAGTAAAATTACCAGTAAAAAAAAGGCTGACCGGAATTTGTCTCGGACCATTTCTTAAAATACATGTACAAGAATCCCCCATAACGGTGCCTGGGATCAATCTAAATGCAGAATTATTTATTAAAAAAGATAAAAATAAATCAAAATATTAGATTTCAACAAAATTATTGCAAATTGAAATTAAGAATCCAAATAATAAACTTACTAATCAATAATAATTATGAAGAAAAAAGAAAAAAAAAGAGAGAGGAAAATTAGCAGCGCAAGGAGAAATTTAATTACGGCTTCAATCCAATGTTCGAAATACAATTTTTCTGATTCTGCATTTTTGGATAGACCCTTGCCCACCTGTCATCAAATAGTCCACATTTCCACGAATCAAACAATATGCATTTTTTTTTTTGGGTAGCAGAAAATAACATATATCGTAAGACAAAGTAGCAACTAGAAATCTTGTTAATTTTTATTGATATTCTTGTAAAATAAAAAAGGATTATATATAGTTTAAAATCCATTGCATCATCGGAGCTGCTAAAGATCCACTGTTTATATATATCTAATTATTTTGATAAGTTTCAAAGTTTTTTTTTTTTTAATTTGATGATGTCACGTAGGATAATATGTTTTTTTATATTTAATTTAATTATTTTTATTAGGAAAATTGAAATTAATCGAACAAAATTTCGACCTCATGTTAAAAAGAAAAGAATGATATTAATTACATAATATCCTTATCATTTAAAATGCCATATATATTAAAATAAATTTACAACAAAACTTCCACCACAAGTGACGATTCATTGGTTAATTAAAAAGGAAATAAAAAAAGGAAGAAAGTACAGGACCTAGCTTGACATATCACTAAAGTATACACAAAGACAAAACCCATTTTCAACGAGACAAAAATGCATTAAAAATCATGACCATGACACTGCTTAATTTGTCGACAAAAGCAGCCCAAGAGACAAGAACACCTCTGAAAACCCTATTGAAGCCTCCTACCTAGCATGAGCAAATCTTCAAAAACATTAAGGTTATTTTGAAACATGAAGAAGGCAACGATAAAAGGTAGATCTGCTGATCATAAAAGAGATCCACCACTAACTAACAAGGTTGAGAGAACCAAAAAGAGGAGGAGAACAAAGTTAGAGAGATCTAAAGCTAACAAAAGTTGAAACAAGAACCACACACATCTCAACACGAAAATCTCCCCAGCCAGAGAACAAAGAGAAACACGATGGTCATAACAAAGATTACGATCTGAACTCTGAAGACAAGGGTTTTTTTTTTTTTTTTTTAACAGCACATGATAAATGGGTAGAGAGAAACCTTAGAAGCATGTAATCCAACACGTTTCCATTTCGAAGCCGCACATTCTGATTTCGAGTTTTTGAAGAAGGAAACCGTATTTTCTTTCAATTCAGCATGGTATATTGCTTGCCACCTTTAATTAAAATCAACACAAACCACAACAAGACATTAATTAATCTCCAACATTAAAATCTAAATTTTTGTATTAATGTTACATTTAATTTCACAAAAACATTAATTATCGAAGTTCTTGACAGACTAACCAAAGCTGTTGAGCAACCACAGCGGAATCCGCCAACCTGCGGCGGGTACGATAACCCCTGTACAACTTTTGCACCTTCACCACCGCAGCGAGGCCATTGAACAATTTGTCATTCCTCCCCTCCTGGGATCCCTCACATTTTGCAGACTGGTCAGTACATTTTGGTGTTAGAGTGTCCATGGACGATTATTACTTGGAAGCACTGTCGATTTTATTGAGAAGATCAAGGGTTTTGCAGGAATAGGACCAACAAAAAAACCTCCTGGGTTTTTAAAATAACTAAAAAACAAGATCAGTCAGATTTGTGGTTGTTTTTGCTTGTGTGGTGGAATGTTTATCCAATAATATATTAATATAGTCACATGGTGGAATCGTCACAGACAGTCACCCACCACACTATTACTTGCTAGCAATCAAAAAGATAACAAGAACGTGATTGCCATGCACTATAAAGTTTTGAGAAATACATTTTTTTTCCACATTATATGAGCTTTTCAGTAGCATTCTAGATAGTACCTCTCATTTATTCCCGTGGTGGGAAACTCATAACGAAAAGATAACAACAACTTGATTGGCATGCAATTTAAAATTTCTTGTTTTGGATCAAAAGCTTAAACTCCATGCTATAGTAAATTATAAACTAGTCCCTCTAATTTTGAAAAATAAATTAATTATTTAAAAAACTTATTTTTTTTTCATTTTTTTAATTTAAATAAAAAATAAATATTATGAAAAGATTGATGAGTGAAAAAATATTTTTAAAATAAAATAATATTAAATTAAATATTATCAATACTAATTAAGAAACTAAATAATTAATTTTTAAAATAAATAAACTAAATAATGCATTTTTCAAAACTAGAGAAACTAATTTATAGTCTACTCCTCCATACTATTGGTATTAGCTACTTACTCACTACTCCAATGTTTATGTGTTTCGTATTTTTTATTATTATTATTATCATTTAACATGAGATCGAAATATTACGATTTTTTGCGTAAGAATTGATAATGTAAAATAATTTGGAAAAAAAAAAGAGAATTAAGTTGTTGAATTTTATTTTACCATATAATCCACACCCTCCTTCTTAGTTATTTAGGTTTTTCAAAATGAATCAAGTATCATTGACTTCAGGGGGATCCAAAAAATTTCCCTACAAGAAACTAGAGAAAAAATTTTAAAGGTGAAGATATATATATATATATATATATATATATATGGGGGGGGGGACAAAAAGTAAAGTATCAAACTATTTATTTATTATTATTATTTTTATTATTTTGAGAGAGAGAGAGAAGAGAACCAAATGTGTCAATTTTTCAAGTAATGAGCTATGAAGGATTAAACTGGTGGGGAAAGAAGTTTATGGAGGAGAAAAGATGAAATATTTGCATTTTCCCAATAAATAAAATATAATGATAAAAAATTATAGCATGTGCGGATGTTCCAAAACTCTGGCAAAGACTTTGGATCGGGCCCAAGTTATAAATACTCCACCTAATTCAAAATGGACGTGACCCATTAACATCCCTAGTTATAATTGACGGCGCCCGGTTCCATTCTCTTTAATCATTTTCAGGTTGTCTAGAACCACTAGTTAGATACTCGTATTATATTATAGTCGAACGACTGTTGTACATATAAGATCAATAATTTATATGATATAATATAGGTAAAAATCTTATTTTTTATAATGTAAATCAAATTTAATTGGTGAGCAAAATGTTTGATTTATATATATTTATTAACAAAATAATCAATAATATTAGTATAAAAGGTTGTATTTGAATAATTGAAAAGTTCTTTCAAAACATTATTTCAATTTTTTTATTTAAAAATTATTGATTTTAGAACATAAAAAAGAATAAATAATAAATAATTGTTATTATCTGTTAAGATATATAATTAATTTCTAACAAAACTAATAATATATATTTTAATTATTTTATTTAAAAAATATTAATTTTAGAACATAAAAAAAGAATAAATAACAAATAATTAGTGTTATGTATGCGGATACATAATTAATTTTTAATAATAATAATAATATATATATGATCATACTTAGTAGATTCACGAGTATATAGTATAAACAATTTTTTTTTAAAAAAAATCATATAAGTTGTATGAAATATATTAAAGTTAATAAATTTAAATAAAAACTATTACGAAATTAGTTCTCATAAAATTTACTTCTTAATTTATGGTGAAAGAGATTCTTGAATTGCAAATTAAATTATAAATTAGTTCTTCTCATTTTGAAAACAAGAATGAATTAATTCTTTTGGTTTCAAAAATAATTTATTAAATTTTTAAAAGATGATTTTGGCCTTTTTACTATTTCAATGTTTTTATTTTTTGTTTTAAGAAATAGAGAAAGAATAAAAAATATGAAAAATAAATAAAAAAATAAATTATCAATGGTCAACACTCGATTTAAAAAATTAAAAAATTTATTTTTTAAACCAAAAGAAGGAACATAAAATTTAATTTAATGAGATTTTTTTAATAATAAACAAAAAATTTAAGAGATTAATTTTTATTAATTTTAATCAATAAAAAAATATAAACCGATATATGTGTTTGTTCTAAAATTTAAAAATATAAGAGGCCAAAAATATCTTTTAAAAATATGAGGAATAAAAAATATACTTGTGAAAAAATACGAGACAAAAATGGACTAAGTTAAAAACATGAGATATCAAAATATTTTTAAGAATATGAGGATTTAAAAATACATTTTGCAAATATAAGGGACTAAAAAGGAATAAAGTGTCAAATTTGAAAATGAATATAAAAAAATTATAAAAAATTATGAAAATGCCATTGTAAGGAATTACAAAATTACCACTAATGAATAGTGAACGGAGGCAAATGAACAGTAATTTATTGTTCATCTATCCCAATTCTTTTAGTTTTTTAGGTAATTTTATTAAAAGAAATGGTTTGATTTTTATTAATACAATTGAATTGGATTCTTATATTGGAAACAAATTGTAAGAATTGATTTGAATTATGTTGTTTGGAATGCTTCATTAATGAAATGAATTCTGTTGTTTGATTATATTGTCCTCAAAATCTTCACTCTAATTAAAAGTGTAGAAAATCTTCATATGAAATTAGCATTGATCAATTTGATTGACTCCAAATTCATTAAGTTCGCATGAAATTTTGCAACTGCCTTGACATTTACAAGGAAAAAAAAAATCTTTTATTAAGTAAATGAAGAAAATAATCAGAACTCATTTACAATTACAACTAAAATTTGAAATCATTGAACAACAAATTCAACCAAAAGAAATTTTATAAGAAATTAATTGAATCACCATGTTAGTAGACCATCAACCATTAATAGTAATTCATTTTTGACAATAGACATTAGCTTATATATATATATATGTGTGTGTGATTTGTTAATGGAAATGAAAATAAGTTCAGATAAAACTATAAAAATAGAATTTGATTGATTTCACACACAAGAATTCTCTTAGAGACATTGAAATAAAACACTTGGTGGGTTAGTTTTAAAACCCATATAATATAATATAATTAAATTGTCAATAGAAACATAGTGAAAGTGAGAGAAAGTGGAAAATGTTATATTATAACTTAATTTTCAATCCAGATCAGAGATCAGTGAGTCATTTTACTAACAAAGGAAAGAAAATGGACATACTTCAGGGAAAAGATGGGCATTAGAGAGAAGACCGGTTTGGTGAAGAAGGGAAGACGAGGAATGATATTGGAAAGGAATAAAATGATAGATAGTTTAGGTATTTTCGTTTTTAACAGTTACATGGCTAGAATTTTCCAAGTAAATCGCAGCCTCTTGGATTTGTTTTGGAAATAAGAATTTCTTATAGTTTTTTAACTTAATAAATCCTAAAATTACCAACTTAATATATTTTAATTATTTGATATATTTATTAAATGTTAGATAAAAAATTCATAAAAAATTTCGTTTTAAGTTGATAGACGACGACATCGTGGATTAAAATAGAATTTAAATCACGCATCAATCAAATCCAAAACCAATTGATTCTAAAACCTAAGATTGACTTATTTGAAAAATTCATTTGAATTACATGTCAATCGAACATGTTTTATCAAACATAACTTCAATCATGTTGTTTGAAGAAGAACAATAAAACAAAAGCCAAAAGGGTCCAACCTTCCTTTTACTTTAGTTCTTTTAAAATTTAAAATTTAAAATTTATTTTTGGCGTTTTTAAACTTTTAGTTTTTTAAAACTTAGCTCACTTTTTAATTTCTTATTTTTTATTAAAAAATCACATAAATAGCTCCATGATATAAATCATTCAATAAGTTTTATATAGACCTCTTTAAAAAAAGAGATTATTTTTTATTTTTAAATTTTTTTATATTTTAATGTTTAAAAAATATATAAACATACTTCTAAATTTTGAAAAATTCTGAAACTTTTTTAGAAAATGTATTAAAATTTTCCCAATATGAATACAAAGAATTTTATTTTATTTTTTAAAAAATGATAGCTAAAAATCGTTGAATGGGTTAAATTATAAAAATTAAAAATTTAAAAATTTTCTAATGAAATTTAAAATTCATCAACTCAATTCAAATGATTTAAATTTCAGAAAAGTTTGACGTTTTTAGCCGAAACAACAAAAGGACAAAAGGAAGAAACGAGATTTGACCATGTGGGGCCTTTTCTTGTGCCTGCCTCTCATGGTGCCTGTGCCTTTGGCCTTTGGAAATTTCAACGACTACGGAATACGGAGGAAATAAAGAAGAGTAAAATATAAACTTATCCTTTTAGTTTTGAAAAATAAATTAATTGATCTATCTTATTTCAAAATTTATATTTAGTCATTATATTTTTAAATTTTATGTAACTTAATCTTTTTTATTTTTTAATTTATTTTTATTTTTTTAAGAAATAGAAAAAATTATGAAAAATGGATAAGAAAAATGATTTTTTTAAATAAATTAATGTTAAATTAAATATGATCAATAGTAGTTAATTGAATAAATAAATAGTTTTTTAAATAAAAAAATTGATTCATTCATTTTTCAAAAATAAAAAAGACTAATTTAAAATTTACTCAATAAAGGAACATCTAGTTGGGATGAGGAAAAACAGCATTATCTAGTGAGTAAATTATAAATTAGTTGCTGTAGTTTCAAAAAAAAAAAAAAGTTATTTTAAAAAATATATAGTCATTGACCAGTATTAATCATATTTAATTTAATATTATGTTATTATAGAAAATATTTTTTTTATCAATTTTTTTCTTTTAAAAAGAACGTCAAATGGATAAAAAAATATTGATACATAATTAATTTTTAAAAATGGAGGATTAATTAACTTATTTTTTCAAAACTAAAAGTTCTAGTTTATAATTTATTTGTTATTTGGTTCAAATAGAGCAAGTTTCAATTAGATATTATGTGTAGATGTACCATAGTTCTAAATAATAAACATTATGCAACATAACGACATTATACGTCGTTATTGTTATATAATGCTATTATTGTCGTTATTGTTATATAATGATAGGTATATTATAAAAAATATTTTTTGATATTTTATTATTATTTGTTTGATATTAAATTAAGAGTTGTTATTGATTTTGTTTTTTTTTTTTTAAATTCAACTATTGTTGTAAATTATTAAACCATTAAAGATATTATTATCCTTAATTAGTTGTGAATTAAAATAAAAATTTACTAATAATTGTTAGTCTGCTAATACATTTACGATATCGATTGTTGTTACTATTATTTAATTTTTGAGATAAATCATAATTCGAAGTTGTAATCATGATTGTTTTTACGATGGTATTTATGATTTAAAATTATGATGGAAGATATCTATTCGACTAATTGCTATTTAAAACTATGATAAGAGATATCTATTAGGCTGATTCGCAACGTTTTTCAAGAATTGCATCGATTTTTTCACTAGTATTTGCAACGATACATTATCCAGTGATGATGTTTTTTTCTGAATCAATAATGTTCTTGATGGGTTGATGCCCTGCTGTGCAGTTTGTAATAATGGTAAAAATGGGACTATCCAGTCAGTTCCTCACCTTTCTTGGTTGAATGAAAATATAACATGCAAGGGGCCATAGCTACACAGAATATTATGATTTAAAGGACAATCAAAATTATAGAAAAGCACTGCTAACCTTGCATAATATTTTTTAAAAACTCATTTCTCAGAAAAGCTCAAGTATTGGATGAGCATTTCACACATTGAATTAGTGAATTTCATAAATTTAAAGATCGATATTTTTGGTAAATCAATCAAAAGAAATATATTACCAATGGTCAACGTTTAACTTCCATCAAATTTCCAACCTTTGTTTTGTGCAACTTCAACTTGTATTTGAAGTGGGATTCCATTACTAATCCAAATTATTGGATTCAATTCAATTCGAATATTACTGAATTGGACCAATTCACAACCCTTACCTCAGATTAACAAGTAGGATGGTTTTCTCCACATATCACTCGACCCAGACAGAAGAGTAGCAATGTGTTCACTACAGGTTTGCCGAGATATAAGAGCGCAGGCATCAGTAAAGTGCAGATTCATCATAGCGTGACTACATAAAGGAACTGTATTTATGTTCAAATTTGCTACTTCTCAATGTCAAATCTGAAGACAGTAGTTACTTGTATTCTGGCACACAAATTTCAGCACATAAAAGTATGCAATCTCACTAAATTTCATACATAAAGGAATGATAGAAGTTCCATGCACGGGAAGTGTGATAAATCTACTGGAGAGAAACATCTAAAGCATAGCTACAGAAAAGCTTCTGAAAAAGAGGGGAAGGAAAACTAAAACATCCAACAACAAGGTAAGCTATTAACAACCTCACTTCTGCACCTTCAATATCCGCCAAATTTGATCCGCATTTGCTGCCTTGAGAAAAGCTACAAGCTACAACTTTGCTTCGGAGCATATTGGGATTTCTGCAATTCAATGGTCCTGCTGGGTAAAGCCATACCGGAGTTCAGTCAAAACATTGTGTCATGGAGATGCTAGAACTCCATAGCATCAAAGGAGAGAAAGAGGCAAAGATGTTTATTGCATCTTGCAATGTTCACCAAGAAAATCTGAACGATGTTCAAGAAACCTTGCAAGCACAAGCCAAAGCACAGTAGTACAGACCGACCAACGTATATACTTACAAAAATATTTTCCGAAAAGGTACTTGTAATTGAAGAGGATGCAGCAAACAAAAGGTGGAACACTAACTAGCTAGATTAAAAGAGCCGGTTTCTCTAATAAGCTGACAAGTACCCCCTACCATCTGTCACAAATTATACATAGTAGAAGAATAGAAAGCCAGATTGCACGCCACAGTTTCTGCTGGCACAAAATGTGGAGCTGTTTAGCACTAGAATTTTTGTAAGTGAAGGCAAAAACATACATGCGTCTTGCTGCATTTTGAATTTCAGTAATCGAGAATACATTTGGTAAGACATAATGGAATGAAATATATATAATACAACAAACAAGAAAATAATCACATTATTTTACACTGTACCAAAATCATTAGAAATCCATTACCTAACTATGGTTTAGCTATTGGAGCACTGGAATTCTGCAGCGAGGATGAAACAGGCTCTCTCCGGAGTTCTTTAACAACGGCAGCCAATGCTTCAGGGTTCAAACCCATGTCACAAAGAGCAATAAGCACCGAAAGGGTGTGTCGATCAAGTCCTGTGTCAAGAAGGTTTGACATATGAAATGCCAAATCCAAAGATTCTCTTGCAGTCTTTGCAGCCTCTGAATCCATGTCAGCAACAAATTTCACAATATCTGAAAAGGGTAAATTTCTCTTTGTGATCTCATTAAGGTCTTAGTCCAAAATTCAGTATTTCAAACAAAATAAAATCAATAAAAGATAAAACCCATAAATTATAAACTAAACATCAACCAAAATTCTCTAACAAAAGTTCAAATCTTCCTAAACTAAGAAAAAGATTAAAACTTTACAAAAGAAATGAAAATAAGTACCTGAAAGTTAAGTCTTTGAGGGTAATTCTCCCGTTTGCTTCAATTCAAGGACACCCTTTTCCGTTTTTAGTCAATTGGGTTTGATCTTGTAATAAATTTGAAAGAGAATCAAGTTCGAAGTAGAGTGAAAAATTCCCGGTTTGCACCAAAAAAAAAAAAAAAAAAAAAGAAAATTTCCAAATGAACGGTAGAGGCGAGAGAAAGAGAGTTTTGGGTGCTTTAATTAACAAGTCCATGAAACTATTCAGAAATTTATAACAAGCCCATCAGGCTCTATTGCACCAATGATTCATTTCCTCCCAAGTTTTGGGCCTTTATGTTTCGAGTAGAAAGTATAAATAACGTGTGCTCCATATGTCTCGAAAGATTGTCCCTTTATTTATTTATTCATTTATTTATATGTTACCTAAAATATTGTTATGAGCAAAATTTTAAATAGTATATTTTTTAAAAATACTTTTGATTGATAAAAAATTAATTTTTCTTTCATGTTTTGTTTTTCGCTAACAACAAATCAATATTTTTATACTATTTTTATGCATATAAAGACCTTTAACATAAAAATTTCAAAGAATTTTTTTTATTACATAAAAATATTCATTTTTATAAGGAATTTATTGCAAGCCAAAATTTTAGGAGTAAAATATTTTCATTAGCATGTTATTTTTTTTTTATATTTTTAACCTTGATTGTTAATTAACTTAATGATTTTTTCCTTCATTTAACATCTTATTTTTGGATAGATTTTCTTTTTAAATTACTATTGGTTTCATGTATGATTAAATTTGATTACTAACAATTTTAATAAAAAAAATTACTTTAAGAAAGGATGAAAAAAATACTAATATAACATAATAATTAATAATTTTTTAAACTGTGTTAAAAAAAAGATGATCTCTTTAAAACAAAAAAGAGTACATTTTTCTAAGTTTATTAGGAGAAATTATAAGGTATACTAAGTATATCACATCACTCATAGATTAAGTCAATAACAAAGAGCCACCTAATGGTTATGGAGGTTTGCTCAATTTCTTGACTTTCTAGGTTCAAACCTTAGGATTAGAACTTAGGAGAATTCATTAAATTTTTCTGAAGACACCAAGCCAAATATGAGACTATGGACCCTTAAGTAAAGGTGGACTTTCAATTTTTTAATATTTTGGTTCAATTTTTCGTTAATTGAACTTATCAAAAGCATAACAAAACTTGAGATCAGATTGTTTTTTTTTTTTTTTTTTTTTTTTTTTTATGAATTCAAAATTTTGAGAAAAAACCAATTTTTTAATTACTTAAAATAATATAAATAGCCCAAAAATTGTGTTATGGACTACGGAACTCTTCTTTTAGTCCAAATGATCTAAATTAGCTCTGATGAAAGGTAATAATCATTTGTTGAAACAAAATTAAAGTACAAAACTATATATATTATATAATTAGATATCAAAATTTAAACACAAATTTACTAATCCACATGTAAAACATATAATGATAACCAACCATGATTGTTCAAATATGTCGTAAATTGAACTACCAAAATTTAAATAACAATAAAAATTTCAAACATGTATAAAATTAAAAAATCTAAATAAAAAAAGTGTATAATTATGTTTTTAAAGTGAAATCGAATTATAGATTGTAAAAACCAAACTGAAACTGAATAATTAAAATTAATTTGATTTTGGTTTTTAATAACCAAATTTAATTAAAAATCAAACCGAATTGGTATTTTGATTCAAATGCAGTTTGATTGATTGATTTTAACTAAACAATATTAATTCATATTCTTAAGATTGTTCGGAGAGAGGCTTAGATTTAGTTGAGGTGGTAGTAAACTCAAGAATACCTTCACAAGATTAGGTCAATAAACACAAAATACATAAAAAAAAAAAACAGTGGTTTCCACTTAATAATACAAGCATTCTGCGTGATTTTTCTCTGTGAGTTGTGTTTATTGGCTTAGTTTATAAGTGGAACGCTTGAGCAACTCTACCTAATAATTTTTTGCTTATTAGATACTATTGGTAGAAAAATTATTACATACTACCCTAGTGAAGTGCAAATAAAAATGATATCGGCAAGGTTTATCATGGTTGATTCCTTGTCTATGTAAATAAGATAACAATACATTCGAAGTATTTCATCCTCTTCTTCTTTTTCATGTACACAAATTACATGTGGTTGCTAATAATCATGTTCATGAATTTCAAAAAAAGAGGAAAAGATAAAGCTTGATAAATGTTTATCAATCTACATGAAAAATCATTACTCAAGAATAGACATTTAAAGTGTCTTCATTCATCAATGACTTTTGTGCTTGTCTGTGTTTTAAATTGTTTAAATATTGCTGTATTGTTCTGTTCCTTTTGTCGGGCCTGTCAATTCTTATGTTGTTGCAGGAGCTTTCTCTGAACATTGTCCCTTCAGATCCAAGTGGCCGTGCAGGGATTCTGGTTAGGAATCATTGTAGTTTGAGTGAAGGTTGCCGCATATAACATCCTGTCAATTTTCTTGATTTTTGTCTTCCTATGATGGTATCTCTCATATTTATATTTTCTCTTGTTTGTTTGAAGTTCCCAATTGGACTTTGTGCTGTAGGTTTGCGGTTGTTGTTTGTTTTTCAATGATTCTTCTTTGTTATCTTGGGTATTTGAATTTATAACTTCGACTTTAGAATAGGGAGGATGGTTTCACTGTCAGAAAAATTATTATATCAGGTAGATTCATATGGATAAAAATGTTTAATTGGTTGATGCAATGAATCGAGTTTATATGGAACAATACTGTTTATTTATAGATTTTAATAATTTTGTATATTATCAATCTATTCCCATTATAGTTTGAATATTGTTTTTGATCCTATGTTGTATTTTCTTCATCACAGACTTGTTGTAGCCCCAGCAATCTTTATTGGGATTAACCCTATAGACATTTTGGTTTAGGCAAGCAGGACAATGAAACTGCTTATCCACATTGGTGTCAGAAAAATCCTATTTACCCTGATTCCTGAAGTATCTATCTCCAATAACATCAACTCTTTACTCGTGAGTGGTGACAAATATAGTGTTGGGAGGTTTTCGCAAGGCATTTTGTCTTTGGGCTAGCTTAAGAAAAGCATGAGTTAAATCACCTGGCAGTTATTTCTTGTTATGTTTCGACTGTCATATATATTTGACTTAAGTGCTACCTTACTTTTGCTTGAAATATTTTCTGACAATGTTTCGATGATTGCCATGCTAGAAGTAGAAGTGAAGTGGCAAACTTCTATATAAATCACACAATTCAGGCATAATTTGAATCATTGTGGCTCTTTCTTTCTTTCTGTCAACAACATGGGGGCTCAGTCATGGATAATTATGGTAGTGTTATCTGCAACTTTCATGCAAATATGCAGAGCTGTAGATGATAAAATCCTGAGTTTGCCGGGTCAACCAAGAGTCAGTTTCCAGCAATATGCCGGATATGTAACCGTTGACGAAAATCAAGACCGAGCTCTTTTTTATTACTTTGTTGAAGCAGAATCAGACCCAGCTTCAAAGCCCCTTGTTCTCTGGCTAAATGGGGGTACTTAATATTTCCTTTTACATGCTCTAATTTTCTCATAAACCAGAATTGTTTTTTAATAGCGTTGTATTGTTGATGTGTTCCTTTTCTAGGGCCTGGCTGTTCTTCTGTTGGAGCAGGAGCTTTCGGTGAGAATGGCCCTTTCAGACCAAGTGGTGGAGGGAGTCTTGTTAGAAATGATTATAGTTGGAACAAAGGTTGTCCCACATGACACTGTACATATTCTATTAAGTGTTAGCAGCAGCTTTCTTCGGGTTTTGCAGGTTGAAAGAATTGCTGAAAGTTTCCTTTCTCCATTCTGCAGAAGCAAATATCCTGTACCTGGAATCACCAGCAGGAGTTGGCTTCTCTTATTCTGCCAATCAATCTTTCTATGAATTGGTGAACGATACTATCACAGGTTTAACACATTTCCTACTCTAGCTAGTAGCTATCGTTGATTTAGTCAAATCGGATTTTTATTATAATATTTCAAATTTTGAGTTATCTACTTACATGGCTGCTCTCTTCAGCACAAGACAATTTTGTATTCCTGCAGAATTGGTTTCTGAAATTTCCAGGGTACAAGAATAGGGATTTGTTTATCACAGGAGAGAGCTACGCAGGTTTGTTTAATTCAATGAAAACAGCACAATACGAAATGTTTTGTCAGAAACAAGGGTGAAGTTTGTGCCTGTTGGTCTACACTCTAATGGATAATTGATCTTGTACTCTCTTCCTTGACAGGACATTATATACCACAACTTGCCTACCTCATTGTCAAGTCAGGACTAACATTCAATTTAAAGGGCATAGCTGTGAGTTGTGCAAATAAAAATAAGAATCCTGATATTACTTTTTCTAGCCACACCTTTTCAAATGATATTCGTTGACCTATAAGATTTTGATTTTTGCCGTTTTCAGTTAGGAAACCCTCTAATGGAGTTCAGTACAGATTTTAACTCAGAAGGCGACTTCTATTGGTCTCATGGACTGATATCAAATCCTACTTATGAACTTCTCACAACAACTTGTAACACTTCACAAATATGGAGGGAGTATATAACAGGCAATACTTCTGTAGCTTGTTCGAAAGTGAGTGATCAACTTGATGCAGAAATTCCAGACGCTATTAATCTATATGATGTCTCTTCAAACGTTTGTCTATCATCTCGTGGATCATTATTGGGAGTTCCTAATCACCCATTATCACCAAGGTTCAAGTTTTTCCCATCCGATCAATCATCGCTGGATGCTCTGAAGCAGTCTGTAAGCCCTTTAGAAGATAACAATTCGTCTAAAGCCATTACAGCTTTGCTTTAGACTTACTATTGGATTTTGCTTCCACTTATGCAGAAATCTGGAGAGAACATTGATCTTTGTGTAGGAGAGAAAATTTTTCGTTATTTAAACAGGAAAGATGTGCAAGAAACTCTTCATGCCACGCTTGTTGGAGTTTCGCAATGGAGTACATGCACTAGGTAAATAAGAACTCCTATTCTTCGACTAGTGGTTTTTAATTATTTTGTGAATTAGCATTATATGTTTCTCCATATCTGGCGATAATAATCACTTGTTTTGATATATTATTTGCTTCAATTTAGTGTTGCAAACTATGATCTTGGGAACCTAGAGATACCTACAATTGATGTGGTGGGCTTATTAGTCAGTTCAGGCATCCGGGTTCTAGTATACAGGTATTAAAAACCAGCTTTTCATCGATATCTTCTTACCAACTAGCAAAAGAGACTGTCAATGATAATAACACAAAGTTAAAATACAGTGGAGATCAGGATTCAGTTGTCCCATTTACGGGGAGTAGGACTTTGGTAGATGGGTTGGCGAAAAAGCTGGGATTGAATGCAACTGTGCCCTATGCAGCTTGGTTTGAGGAAAAACAGGTTAGCCAATTAATTTCTGCGGCTTAAGATATATGAACTTAAATATAACCGAAAAGTAAAGTTTTGATGCCTGATCTCTTGTTCTTAAATTTTCGTTCTCAGGTTGGTGGATGGACAGAAGTCTACGGTGACCTCCTAACATTTACCACCATCAGAGGAGGCTCCCACATGGCACCATTTTCATCACCCGGAAGATCACTGGCATTATTTGCAGCATTTCTATCTGGGAAGCCTCTTGTCTAAGCTAAAGTCATGGAACAAATCTAAGAGCCACGTATTTGAAGCTATGCTTCTTCCTGACAATAAAAATGGAACTACTGAAAAAATTGGTAGAAAATTCAACCTGATTACAATTTTCCTTTTTGGAATCTTTCATCTGTATTAGAAGTTAAGACTTTGAGGGTGGAAACTGTAAGCAAAAAGTTGTCACCAAGCAATAAAAAAGGCATTATCTATTGAGCAATAGATATGAAGAGAAATAATGTGGCATACACAAGATATATATGCTTGTAATATGGGAGGGTAAACATATCAATTACAGGTTCCAAGTTTAATTTCCCAAATGAAAATTAATAATTATCTTCTCTTATCCAAGTTTATATTATCAGTATGGGTGTTTTGGTTCACATTAACAAATCATTAGAACTGCTTAGTAATTGATTAACAAAACATTAGAATTGCTTAAGAATAAATTATGGGTTATTGCAGAACCTACAAGGATTATGCATGGTTCAAATTCGACAATTTTGACTCTGATTACGAATAGAATTTCTTTACAAACCTCAAATTGAACATGTTTTTTAATATAAGAAAGAATACCTTTCCGTAATCTGCAGAAGCAAACATGGTATACCTGGAATGACTAGCACTCTTGCAGGGCTTCTCTCACTCTGCCAATATATCATTCTATGACTTTGTGAATGACACTACATAAGGCTAAGACAATTCCTAAGCTAGCTACTCTGTTGTCTTTAGATGAAGCAAACAGGTCACAGGGCCTTTGTTTCATTTATATATATTGACCTGTAAGATGGATTTTTGGTTTTTTTCATTTCGAAACCTTTAATTTAAACTCAAAGGGTGACTTTTATTGGTCCCATGGGTTGATATCAGATAGTACTGCTTATCAACTTTTCAGTTCTAGTGTGTAACATTTCATAATTCTCAGAGAGTATACGGCAGGATCTTCTTCAGCTGCTTGTTCAAATGTAGCTGAGCAACTTTCTGCAGAAATCCAGATGCTATCAATCTATATGATGTCACTTCCAACATTTGTACATCACTTTGTGAATCAAAATTTGGATTTCCTAATGATATATTAACACCAAAACTCCAATTTTTCAGCACTGCAGAGGATCTCAGTCAGCCTGCTGCAAGCTTTTCAAGAGAAAAGTATTGGGTTAATAGTTATTCTTTATTTTGTCTTTATCATGTCCCTCTATTTTTTTTTCTATTGTAAATTCATTCCTTTACGTTAGGTTTTTATCTTAATGTCATTCTTTTGTTAACTTTTTAACTAATAGTGTTAACTTTTCTTTTACTGAATTCAAATAAATAATTTTTTAAATAAAAAAAAATTAGAAAAAAGGTGAAGATATATCTAGTCATTCTCTATAAAAATTGAAAATAAATAAAAAACTAGAAAAAATGTGAAGTTAAAAATATTTTTTTAATAAAAAATATCATTTATGGGCTTAAATTTGTCTCTATAATAATAAGCAAATTTTGAGTATAAAATAAAATATTTATAATATTTTTTGTTTACATTTGTTAGTTTAAAATGATGAATAGGTGGTAGAAATGTTATGTTGTGAATGGTCGTGTTGTCGAATACTCTATCCGACTATGCTTGAGATTTGTGTGCTTCTTGCTCGTTTGTCGTAATAAAGCTGTCGGTGTCTTCCTATTTATGTGGTTGAAGCTGCTCGTGGCTTGTAATCAATTTGTATGCTTGTCTATTTGTCGAACCGAAGCTGCATGTGGCTTTCCACTTATATGGATGGAGCCGCCAATGGCTCTCGAACTCGTTTTATTTAATTTTTAATTGTTGAAACAAAGTTGTCGGTGACTTCTCACTTACGTGACGAAGTTGCTAGTGGTTTCAAAATTATTTTGCTTGCCATATGCTTATTTGAAATAAAACCATCGATGACTTCTCACTTATGTGATGAAGTCAACAAGTAGCTTCCAAACCGATCACTTGCTCCTTGCTTGAGTGAAATGAAGTTTTCAATGGCTTTCCACTTATGTGATGAAGTTGTCAATAACTTCTTAAATTCATGTCTTGAAGTCATCAACGTCTTCCTACTTATGTGAGTGAGGTTGTTGATGACTTACTGTTCATATTAATAAAAGACTCTCAATTTTTAGGAACTCATCTATTTTTCGAGTATAGGTCGTGTTTTTGCTAAAGATTAGTCGAAATTTCAAGTTTTTCCACCCTTCCCCTTTGAGTATGGGTATTGGCCTCGAACCGACATAAACCCCGAATTACTTTGTTATTCTATCTCTATAAGATAAATTCACTCAAATAGATATAGAAGCATAACATAGTAAAATCAGATTTTTTTTTTTAATTTTCACATGTAAATAATGCGAGTGTACCTCAAGTAGGGTAGGATGATAGTGATATTATATCTTCTCCATTCGTAATCGACCCCTTATCTAGATATCTTCGTAAGACTAGTATGTTTAGGGTTTCCTAATTCTTTTCGATTACCTAGGTGGTGACTTCTTGTTCCTAAATATCCTCCATAGGCCATGCCAACGAAAGAGAAGTGGAAAATTGATGGAAATTATAACACAAATAAGCCGGGAATGTGAACATATATTGAGCATCAACAAGCTGTAATGAATAATGTTCATTCAATTTGATAGTATTGAGCATCAACAAACTGTAATATATAATGGATAGATAATGTCTATATTCAAGGCAACAAATAAGATTAGAGTAATTAACATAGAGAACTCGAGGGAAAGAATAACCTAACGAAACAAATTGAAGAAAAAGAAGAAGAAGAAGAAACCTAAATAATCAAAATTGGGATGCAATTTTCTTCTAAAATAATGAGATTGAAAAAGAGAAAAAGAAAAAAAATCAAGATATGAAATATATATAGAATTCGAGGGGAGGGCGGGATAGTGATCTTTTCGGAACTCAAAATAGGGAAAAAAAACATGTAGATAATATTTATCAACTCGCCTCATACTTATTTGTGTGTAAACTATGTTTGCCATTATTAAACTCTAAGGTTATTCTCTAAGGATAAATATTCTCTTAAACGCTCTAAAGATTTCGCCTATATAACCTTTTTATAGCTTTGCTTGGAACTTAATGCAAATAATATTTATCCTTGCTTATTAGATAAAACTTTATATATTTAAACATAAGATAGTATGAATATTGGTGGCATGTATCGAACCCTAATCTCGTTAGAATTTAAAATCTTCTCCATATTTTCTCAAGCCATCAAGAATTCCTAGCCACTAGGAATTCTTAGTTATTAAGTATTTGACCAAGTAATATTTAATGGAGGTGATCAATGAAGGTGGTCAAAGGAGGTGGTCAAATTTTGTACCTTCTAATTAATTCTAGATGTTATAAATGAGGAGGTTAAGTTTGCCTATAAATATGATCCTTATGTTTGTAATGTATGTATGAAAAAATTAAAGATAATAAGAGAGAAAAAGAGAGAGCAAGAGTACGAGTAGCCATATACTAACGAAGACTAAGAAGAGAGAAATAAAATCAATCTATCGAGAGAAGATATTTTGTGCGAGGTTTTTCTAGTAATCGGTTTATATCAATATATTATTGTTTGAGTTTTATTTTATGAGCCTATTATGCTTCCAACAAATGGTATCGAGCTTGGTTTGTGTCTATATTCCAAGTGAGGAGATGACCCATATGATTTAGCCTCAAGTCCTAAAATTAACAAAAACAAATTATGAAAACTAAAGCATCCGGATGAAAAGTTTTGCTTGATTCATAAGATTTATAGGAGATTATTGAAGAAGGCTATACTGAGCATGAAGATGCTATTATCAAAGCATTTTTGATAAACACGTAGAAGACAACACTTAAAGAATCAAACAAAAAGGATAAGAAGGCTTTGTTTTTTTATTTTTCAAGGAGTTGACGAATTAACCTTTGAGAAAATATCAAATGTGAAGACATCAAAGTAGGCATAGGAGATTCTATAGAAATCTCTTCAAGGAGTCAAAAACGCTAAAAAGTACGACTTCAATCACTCGGAGCTAAATTTGAGCCATTAAAAATATAGAATTCTAAAAAGAACAATAATTACATCACTCATCTAAAAAAGATGGTGAACGATATGAAAAGAAACGAAAAAACTCTTGATTATGTCAAAGTGATGGAAAAACTCCTATGTTTGCTGACAAGAAAATTTGATTATGTTGTCACCGATGTTGAAGAATCAAAGGATTTGTCACAAATTTCTATTAACTAGCTTGTGAGTTCTCTTCAAGCTTATGAGTAGAGAATAAAATAGAATGAAAATGCTTGGTAATTTGGAGCAAGCTTTGCAAAACAAGTTATACATTGGTGACGGTTAAGCTAGCAATAACTAATGACAAGGTAGAGGAAATATAGGTAGCTTCGGAGGTGGCTATACGGATGAAGCACATTGTAGAAACTCTTTTGAAAGAGGCCAAACAAATGAAGGCTATCAAATATCCGGTCATGGTCGAGGATCCGGAAATTGAGGAAGAGGTAGATTTCAATAATGACGTGATAAATCACAATTGTAATGTTATAATTATAATAAGTATGGCCATTTCAATTATAAATGCGATTCACCTCCTAAGATGGAGGAAATAAATCATTTTGCAGTAGTAGAATATAATGAAGTCGAATCCACTATTTTCCTAACTTATAGAGGAAATGAAGAGTGTAAGAAAAATGTTTGGTATCTTGACACCGGTGCCGGTAACCACATGTATGATCGAAAAGAGTTGTTTATAGATTTGGACGAGACTATCCAAGGAGAAGTTATTTTTTGTGACTCATCAAAGATTTCGAGTCATGGGAAAAGGTACACTTATGATTACCTTAAAGAATGAAGATAAGAAGTAAATACATGATATTTATTATGTACTTGTCTTGAAAAGCTAAAGCATTAGCCTTGGCTAACTCTTAGAAAAAGGGTATGACATATAACCGAAGGGTCGCTTTCTCGTCGTCAATAGAAGTGAAGAATTAATTGCTAAAGTTGATATGACAAAGAATTATCTTTTCACACTTGATATTTGTAGGAAAGTGCTAAAGTGCATGAAGTCTATCATTAAAGATGAATCATGATTATGACATTTAAGTTTCGATCATCTTGGATTTACCAACCTAAAGCTATTATCGAAGCAAAGATGGTGAATGGAATTCTAGAAATTAATCAATTGAATCAACTCGTGTGAAGCCTATATTAAAGGAAAACAACATAGATAAAGTTTTGAAGTTAGAAAATCATGAAGAGCTAGAAGGCCTTTGAAGATTATTCACTCGGATATAGCTGGTCCATTTGATATACCATCACTTGGCGGAAACAAGTATTATCTTATTTTTATTAATGATTTTAGTATAAAAAGTTGGGTGTATATTTTTAATAAAAAATTAAAAGCCCTTGATAAATTTAAGGAGTTTAAAACAATGGTAGTAAGACAAAATGGATAATATCCGAAGATACTTAGATTTGATAGAGGAGGCAAGTACAAATCAAAATTGTTTGAAGGTTTTTGCAAAGAAAATAGAATCATTCATCGGTTAACAACCTCATATATGCCATAACAAAATGGCATTATAGAAAGAAAGAATTGTATGATTCTTGATATGATAAGGAGTATGGTGAAAGGAAAGCACTTACCGAGAACCTTTTGGGCTGAAGTTGTTCTATGTGCTCGTTTATTTACTAAATTGATGTCTAACAAAAAGTGTAAAATTCAAAACGCCAAATGAAGCATGGAGTCGTAACAAACCCGTAGTTAGACATTTTAGGATTTTTGGATGCATTACATATGCCCATGTTCCTTACCAAAAAAAAAAAAAAAGTTAGATGACAAAGGAGAGAAGTGTATCTTTATTGGCTATAAGAAAATGAGTAAGATGTATAGATTGTACAATCCTTTGATTAAGAAGGTGATTATCTTGCGAGATGTTGAATTCGATGAACCAGATTACTAGAGATAGAGTAAAAAAGATAAAGAAGTTAAAGGACTATTTTTTAATGAGGACAATGATGATGACTTTAACATACAAAATGAACGAGGTGATGATCGGACTTCTCATAAAGTCTTACTTCAACAACTTTTGAATTAACACCATCGACATCCTCGAGCAACAATAGTAGTAGCAGTAGCAATTTAGGGGGAGCACTTGAAAAAATACGAAGTCTAAATGATGTTTATGATTCCATAGAACTTGTGCGGACACCAAACTCATTATTTTGGTTAATGATAGAGTGTGATCCATTAACATATAAGGAGGCTACTAAAGATGAGAAGTGAGAGAAGACCATGAATGAAGAAATTACTGCAATAAAAAGAAATGACATATGGAAATTAACTAGTCTTTCGAAAGGACACGAGAAAATAGGAGTCATGAGGGTGTACAACTAATCAAGAAGGAAAAGTAGAAAAATACAAGGCAAGATTAGTCACTAAAGACTATAGACGGATATAAGGAATTGATTATAAGGAGGTGTTTGCTCCGAGTTGCAAAAATTGATACCATTAGACTTCTCATAGCGGTCACAATACAAAATAAATGGAAGATTTATCGGATGGATGTGAAATTAATATTCTTGAATGAATACTTAGAAGAAGAAGTTTATATTGAGCAACCACCGAATATATTAAAAAAGGACGAGAACACAAAGTCTATCGATTGAAGAAAGTCTTATATGGATTAAAGCAAGCTTTGCGAGCTTGGAACACAAAAATAGATGAGTACTTCAAAAAGAATGGTTTTGCAAAATTTTTGCATGAGCATGCCTTATACACGAAGAAAAATCAAGATGGTGATATCATGATTGTATGCCTATATGTAGATGATATGATTTTCATAAGAAATAATTTAGGTATGTTCAATGATTTTAAGAAAGCTATGACTAAAGAATTTGAAATGAAAAATATTTGTGAAATGTCATACTTTCTTGGAATCGAGGTAAAACAAATAGAAGATGGAATATTTATGTTACAAAAGAAGTATAAGGAACAAATTTTGAATAAGTTAAGAATGAAGGATTGTAAGCCAATAGCTCCACCAACGAAGCAAGCATGAAGGTGAGAATAGATTCGAATAGAGAGTCTATAAACCCAATATTATTCAAGAGTCTAGTCAAAAGTTTAAGGAATTTGAATTTCACATGCCCATACATTATGTATGTAATAGGGTTAGTCACATGCTCGACATTATATATGTAGTAGAGTTGGTCAATAGATATATGGTGAAGCCAAAGTAGTATCATTTCATTGTAGCAAATTTTTTTTTGAGATATATCAAAGGTCAATAGATCATGGTTTATTTATTACATATTCTCAAGATTCAAAATTAATTGGTTATTCGGATAATGATTATGGTCGAGGCTTGGATGATCGAAAAAGCACTTCGGATATATATTTCATATTGGATCAACAATATTTTTGTGATCATCTAAGAAGCAACAAATAATTGCTCTCTTGACATGTGAAGCAAGGTATATAGCTGTAGCAACATGTGCATGTCAAGCAATATGGTTGAAGAATACTTTGAACGAGTCATATCATGCACAAGAAGGTTCAACTAAAATATACATCGATAATAAATGTGCTATATTACTTGCAAAACATCTAGTCTCACATAGTTGAAGCAAGCATATAGACACGAAATATCATTTTATTCGGGAGTAAGTGAAAAACAAAATTGTAGAACTAGTTCATTGCGGAATAGAAGATCAACTTACGGATATTTTGATGAAGCCTTTGAAGATCAACGTATTCCACAAACTCAAAGGAAAGCTTGGCATGCAAAGTCGGGTTTGAGATGGAGTGTTAGAATTCAAACCATTCTCTAGAATTTTCTTAAGCCATCAAGAATTCTTAGCCATTAAGAATTATTAGTTATTAAGTATTTGACTAAGTAATATTCAATGGAGGTGATAAATAGAGGTTGTTAAAGGAGGTGATAAAAAGAGGTGGTCAAATATTATGGCTTCTAATTAATTCTAGATGTTCCAATTGAGTGGGTTAATTTTGTCTATAAACATGATCCTTATGTTTGTAACATATGTATGAAAAATTAGAGAGAATAAGAGAGAAAAAAGAGAGAGCAAGAGTACGGTAGCTATATAGTAGTAGCGACTAAGAAGAGAGAAATAAAATCAATCTATTGAGAGAAGATATTTTGTATGAGATTTTTCTTATAATAAATAGATATCAATATATTATTGTTTGAGTTTTATTCTGTGAGCCTATTACGCTTTCAACATATCCTCGGTATGCGTGGCATCCCATAATCTACACACAAGAAAAGCAAGCCTTCATACTTGTAGTGGCCTAGATAAGGCATTGGGAATTGTTGAACCTTACACTTCATGAATATGAGATCTGAGGTTTTACCACCGAGCCGCCTCTTGTTGTTACCTTCATTCTTACAATTATTGATCTATTGTTCAAGCAACTATTTTGGAATGTATTTTTTTTATTCAGCTGGAGGCCTAGCCGGTTTTGGGATCCAATACCTATATCCCCAACCCTTTTTAGGCTTTGAACCTGAAACCTTCAATCAGAAATGTCAAATCTCGATCGTTAAGACTGTCTGGACATTCAGAATCTATTTTTCGAGAAGAATGAGCATATGGTCCAATAACAATTGGTGCTATTTCTCGAAAAATGAGACTTTTACGTTGAGCATGTTAGCAGAGCTCAACATGGAAATTTTACAGAATTTGACGATAGGAAAGCCAGCCATCCCTTGAAGCTTTTCTAGGATATTCTGCTAAAATCAATGATAACTTCACAGAAACAAGCATAAGCTACATGTGAATAATTACAAGAGTTGGGAGGTATTTCCAAGGAAGGTATTTTGTCTTGGGGAAAACTTATGAAAACTTAAGTTAATTAACCTCGTTATTTTTTGTAATGTTTTTATTGTCATATATTTTAATTAGGTTGACTTTTTCCTTAACAATGATTGTTTTTGACAATGCTTCGATGATTACCATGCTAGAAGTAGAAGTGAAGTTGCAAACTTCTATTATAAATCACACAATTCAGGCATGATTTGAATCATTGTGGCTCTCTGTCTTTCTATCAACAACATGGAGGCTCAGTCATGGATAATTATGGTTGTACTATCTGCAACATTCATGCAAATATGCAGAGCAGTAGATGATAAAATCCTGAGTTTGCCGGGGCAACCAAGAGTCAGTTTCCAGCAATATGCAGGATATGTAATCGTTGACGAAAATCAAGACCGAGCTCTTTTCTATTACTTTGTTGAAGCAGAATCAGACCCAGCTTCAAAGCCTCTCGTTCTCTGGCTAAATGGGGGTACTTAAAATTTTCTTTTCTTTTTGTATTTTTCTCATACACCAGAATTGTTTTTAAATACTGTACATTGTTGATCTCGTTCTTGTGTAGGGCCTGGCTGTTCTTCTGTTGGAGCAGGTGCTTTCTCTGAGCATGGACCCTTCAGACCAAGTGGTGGAGGGAGTCTGGTTAGAAATGATTATAGTTGGAACAAAGGTTGTCATATGAGACATTTTCCATTTTCTGTTGGAGCACTAGCTTTCTTATGTTCTTTTAGTTGAAAAGAATTGCTGAAAGTTACCTTTCCCCTATTCTGCAGAAGCAAATATGCTGTACCTGGAATCACCAGCAGGAGTTGGCTTCTCTTATTCTGCCAATAAATCTTTCTATGACTTGGTGAATGACACTATCACAGGTTACCACAATTCCTACTCTTCCTACGTTGCTTATATTTCCGACATCATATCCTAGCCTATGTTTAGTCAGATCAATTTTTTTTTTTTTAAATAACATTCGGAGCTATTTACATTTTTTGATTGCTTTCTCTTCAGCACAAGACAATTTTGTATTCCTGCAGAATTGGTTTCTGAAGTTTCCTGAGTACAAGAATAGGGATTTGTTTATCACAGGAGAGAGCTATGGAGGTCAGTTTAATTCAATGAAAACAGCACATTACGAAATATTGTCAGAAACAAGGATAAAGCTTGTGCCTGTTGGTCTAATGGATCAGTGATTTTGTACAGGACACTATGTGCCACAGCTTGCATTCCTCGTTGTGAAGTCAGGACTAAAATTCAATCTGAAGGGCATAGCTGTGAGTTGTGGAAATAAAAATAAGAATCCTGATATTACTTTTTCTAGCCACACCTTTTCAAATGACATTTGTTGACCTATTAGATTTGATTTTTGACGTTTTCAGTTAGGAAACCCTCTAATGGAGTTCAGTACAGATTTAAACTCGGAAGGCGACTTCTATTTGTCTCATGGGTTGATATCAAGCCCTACCTATGAACTTCTCAGTGCAGTCTGTAACACTTCACAACTCTGGCGAGAGAATATAGCAGGCCACTTTTCGGCTGCTTGTTCGGAGGTGAATGATGCAGTTTTTTCAGAAATTCCGCACTACATTGATCTATATGATGTCACTGCGAATGTTTGTTTATCATCTGGTGGATCACTGTTGGGAGTTCATAATAACCCATTAACACCAAGATTCCAATTTTTCTCATCTGCTGAATCAATGCAGGAGGCTCTCAGTCAGCCTGTAAGCACTTCAAAAGATAAAAATTCATCTGATCAAGCCATTACACCTTTGCTTTGGACTTACTATTTGGTTTTGCTATCCCTACGCAGAAAGATCAAGAGAACATTGATCTTTGTGTACAAGAAGAAACTTTTGTATATTTGAACAGGAAAGATGTGCAAGAAGCTCTTCATGCCCAGCTTGTTGGAACTCCGCAGTGGGGTTTCTGCAGTGGGTAATTAACAATTCTTAGTTTTGTGAATTATCATTATATGTTTCTCTATGTATGGTGGTAATAATAACTTGTTTTGATATAGTTTACTTCATTTTAGTTATGCATACTATGATCGTCGAAACCTAGAGATACCTACAATTGATGTGGTGGGCTCATTAGTCAGTTCAGGCATCCAGGTTCTGGTGTACAGGTATCAACAACCAGCTGCTTTTCATTGATCTCTTCTTACCAACTAGCAAAAGAGACGGTCAATAATAATAACACGATGTTAAAATACAGCGGAGATCAGGATTCAGTTATCCCATTTACGGGGAGTAGGACTTTGGTAGATGGGTTGGCGAAAAAGCTGGGATTGAATGCAACTGTGCCGTATACAGCTTGGTTTGAGGATAAACAGGTTAGCCAATTAATTTCTGCAGCTTAAGATAAATCAACTTAAATATAATCGAAAAGTAAAGTTTCGATGCCTGATCTCGTGTTCTTAAATTTTTGTTCTCAGATTGGTGGATGGACGCAAGTCTACGGTGACCTCCTAACATTTACCACCATTAGAGGAGGCTCCCACATGGCACCGTTTTCATCACCCGGAAGAGCACTAGCATTATTTGCAGCATTTCTATCTGGGAAGCCTCTTGTCTAAGAAGCTTAAGTCAAGGAAGAACAAATCTAAGGGCCACGGATTTGAAGCTATGCTTCATCTTGACAATAAAAAAAAACTACTGAAAAAATAGGTAGGTAGGTAGAACATCCAACCTGAAAACTTGAGCCTCACGACATTTACAATTTTTTAATCTTTCATCCATTGAGTTAGGACTTGAGAGTGGAATCTGTAGTACGAAAAATTTTCACTGAGCAATTAAAAAAAAAAAAAAACAAGAATTGCATATGAATGAATGTGGGGTTATTGCAGCACCAAGAAAGATTACATTACATCATACACATGCATATATGCTTCAAACTCAACAATTCGACAATTTTGACACTGACTACTGATATATAGCATTTCCCTTAAATTCTTGGACTGAACAATGTTTTTTTTTTTTTTAGATATAACAAGAAAACCTTTTCTTTAGTAAGCAAAAACACATATGCTATACCTGCAGGAATCACCAGCTAGCAGAGGTTGGTTTCTCTTATTCTTCTAATCCATCATTCTATTGAGTTGCTTTGAACAACCTCTTGTGGTTACTCTATCAGTAACTGATATAATATTGTTCAAGGTAGCAACTAATTAATTTGCAATCTATTTTTATTCTGGTTCAATCAATGGGAGGCCTAAGACAATAAACATTAGGGATAGTCATCTCCAATTAATTCTTAAATCAAATCCCATTCTTTTTAGGTTTTGAATAAAAAATCTTCAGTTAAAAATCTCAATAAATTAAAAAAATTTAGCTGTTTAATGAGGTACCATATATTAACATTTCTATACCAACTCCATAGCTAGCAAAATCTTCGGTTAGAAATCTCAAATCTCAATACTTTTTTTTTTTTTCGAGAAAAACATCAGTACTCTTGAGTTATTCTACCAGCACCTAAAAGTAAGATATCTTACATCCGCCAACAAAAGACGACCTTATTTACCATAAGAAACAACAACAGACGACGTGTGTTTGAAAAATAAATGAAAAAGAGAGAGAGTAAATTTTGAAATGGGTTTTACTCATTATTGTGGTACAGGTTTTCTTTTTTTGTCTATTAGTTAGCGAAAAAAAATATTTTTGTTTAAATTTTTTTTTAATTTTATCTAATTTTCTTTTAATTATGATTTTTTAATTTATTTATGTCAACATTTCATTTTTATTAAATAAAGAGTTAGTGGAAAATGGGGCTCATCTAGACACGTGCCAGTCATTTGTAAGTCTACTTTTATTGACTAAGGTAAACTCAATTTGTCTTTGGGCAAACTTATGAAAACACAAGTTAATCAACCAGGTTGTTATTTCTAGTAATTTTTTTAATGTCATATTCGTATATTTTAAGTGTGACCTTTTCCTTGAAAGTATTTTATTTATTTTATCATTATCACCGTTTACCGGAAATTGCTAATTAAACTACGAGTAAATTAAAAACTAATCCTTTTTGTTTTAAGACACGAATTATTTAATCAATCTTTTAATTTTTTTAATGTCATATTCGCACATTTTAAGTGTGACCTTTTCCTTGAAAGTGTTTTATTATTTATTTATTTATTTTTATAATTATCACCATTTACCGGAATTTGCTAATTAAAATACAAGTAAATTAAAAACTAATTCTTTTTGTTTTAAGACAGGAATTATTTAATCAATCTTGTTTGAAAAACTAATTATTTAATCATTTATTGTTAATTAATTTTTTGTTATATCTGTCAAATTAACATCTAATATTTAAAATAATTTTTAATAGACATATTCATTTATGATGATATATTTTGATGCTTGAGAAGAGAGAAATGAAGTGGAGATTAATAAAATGAGAAGTGAAGATTTGAGGAGAGAAATAAAAATTTGTTTTGGCTCTTGAAAAGTGAAAAAAAAAAGTGTGTGAATGAGAAAAAATAATGTTTAAAAAATAATTTAGAAACAAAAAAGTTTCAATAAAAACACTTCATCATTACTCTAATGAAAAACTGAAAAAAAAAACATTAACAAAATTAAAAAATAAGAGATTAAATAATTAATTTTTCAAACATAAAAGATTAATTATTTTTTTTTCTAGAAACGATTGAAACAAATTTATAATTCACTCTATAAAACACAAAATCGAGGCTTAATGTTCAATTATGCTAGAATTCTCAATTAATTTATGTGAGCGCCATTTTGAGCCAGTTCCTCAACGTTCTTGACGTAACCTCTTACTTGGGTCTTTTTTTGCTTGGGATTGTTATCTTTCATTTTTTACATTTTAGTGTTAGGCCAGTCTATATTGAAATAGGTAACCGCTTTGGTGTCATGACCCGTCACTTTTATATTGCTCTCATCTCTTCTTTCTTTTCTTTGCAAAGGCATATTTCACTCCGACACTCCTCCTCACACCAAACCTTCGTCATTTTTTAGGATATTATATATATATATTTTTTCCAAGGTTGTCATGTGGACGCATAGTATTTATTTTTTTAAAAAACAAAATTCTCACGTGAACACATAATATTTTTTCTCTCATTGACTTAACACCATCACGTGTGGTTTTCTTGTGCCACGCCATCGCTTGTGCTAGAACCCATCCCCAGTTAAAACTCTTGCCTTGAGTCTTTGTTTTCACACCGAAAAAGTTAATTGCTTTAGTTTTATGGCCCTTCATTTATATTTTTGTCTCATCTTTTACTTCTTTTCAATGAAAATAGCACATTAGAAAGTATTTTGTCGAGAACTTTAATGATAAACTCTTAATAAGGATATTCGTTGTCCTATTGGAGTTTAGTATATTCAAAAGTTTAAGTTGATAGGTGAAATTTCGGGATATGATTTATATTATTTTTTAACACATTTGATATCATGTCGAAAGACTATCTCATTTAAAAACTTATGTTATTAGATGAGATTACAATATATGAATTATATTATTTTTTGACAAATATCAAAACATACGTATGAACTTATGGCAGTTTGTATGACTTCACAACTTCACAACTCTTCTATGACCAAAACAATATCTCTTCGATGAGTTGATCGATAAATTAATCCAAGTTGCAAACTATTAACAGCAAAACCGTTTATCCAAATTACTGCTAGTGATTCCGAGGTTAACAAAACAAGCAATGAAATTTCCATGAATGTGACAAAAGAAGGTCAGCCAGGGCCACTAGCGGTACAGCTGGTTGAAGCTTCATGGCTAGTAATCAAGACAACTAGAGCATTATTTGAGACCAGACATGTTGTTGGCTTGTTTTGTCTGTCATATGCCTTTTCCCATGTTCCTTTTTTGACTAGTCCTTTGGATTATTTACGTTTGTACACTAGAAATAACAATATGCTACGGCAAATTGCTTATATCTTTAAATTTATGAGGGCCAGCTTAAGTTGAGCCACAATTCAAGTCAATGTTATGTTTGAGACAGACTGAAATGTAAGAAATCTTGTACTAAAAACAGATAAAAAAAAAAAAAAAGAAGAGTTTTTGCAGGATGCTCCAGAAAATAGCATTCCTGTCATTTCGAAAGGGACTGCATTTTGTTTCATTTTGATTAAAAATATTCAGATTGCATTTCTTGTGTATTCTTGTGTTCTGTGGGCCAATAGAAGGTTCTATCCTTTAATCACGAAGGTACAAGGTTTGTCATCTTTCAGAGTTTTCTAATGAAACAAAATTGATGGAATTGTTTTCATTATAATTCCAGCTGTATAGTAAAAGTTAAAAGACCATCTGACGAAACAATCAGTCAATTATTTGCACAGAAATTGCCATTAAAAGTACACACATCTCATATTAATTTGATGACATAGGATCTGTTTCTCTAAACACCATGCAATCTCAAGTATGGATGATTGTTTTTGCAATGTTTGTAACTGTCGTCCAAATATCCAGAGCGGTAGGCTCATCCTCAAGCGATGACAAAATACTGAGTTTGCCAGGGCAACCACAAGTTGGTTTCCAGCAATATGCAGGATATGTAACTGTAGACGAAAAGCAACAGAGAGCACTTTTCTATTACTTGGCTGAAGCAGAATCAGACCCAGCTTTGAAGCCTCTTGTTCTCTGGCTAAATGGGGGTAATACTTCAGATTTTATTGTCACTTAAGCAGGCTGATTCAGAAGATTTTCATTTTTGTTGTATGGTTTGAATACTTTTGTATTCTTCTGTTCCTTTGTAGGGCCTGGCTGTTCATCTTTTGGAATAGGAGCTTTCACTGAAAATGGCCCCTTCAGACCCAGTCATGGAGGGCTTCTGGTCAGAAATGATTACAGTTGGAATAAAGGTGTCTGATTCTTGTTAACTTTGTCCATTTTAAACCTCCTTCCCACATCTTTCTCCCTCTAAATCTGATTCAACATATGGTGTGGAACCACTAGTCATGTCCACAATTCAAGACTATGCATTCCACCAATGAGGAAATATTCACTCCTAACCTACCTGGAGTGGTTGCCTGAGAAAAAAAAATTCAAAACAAGCTCTGTTGACTGCAACGGACCGAAAGCTTGGGAGCGAAGTGATGGTTTCGAAGCAAGATGAATGTCTCCTCAAATAATTATGTTCCTGCCAAGAGTTGCTTAACATCGCCTTTCTTTTGTACTGCAGAAGCGAACATGCTGTACCTGGAATCACCAGCAGGGGTTGGTTTCTCTTATTCTGCCAATCAATCTTTCTATGACTTGGTGAATGACACTATAACAGGTAAAAATTTCTTACTCCCGGTTGTTAAATTCTTAACATCTTACCTAGTCTTTTGATAAAGCAAACCGAATACAACCAGGTCACAGGGCTTATGTTTATTCTGATAAAATCCACATTAATTTTTATCAATTTATCAGTATCATAGTTATTCTTTCGGGATTTTTTTGTCTTGGTATGTGCGTAAGTAGTGTTTGAAATTTTTCTTTTTAAAACTTAAAATATTAAGGCTTTCTTCTCTTCAGCCCAAGATAGTTTCATATTCCTACAGCAATGGTTCGTCAAATTCCCTGAATACAACGATAGAGATTTCTACATTGCTGGAGAGAGCTATGCAGGTACCTTAATTTCTGTGAAGGTAGAAAACTTTAATTTTTTTGGAAGAAACAACAATAAATTTGTGTCTGTTGGTTAAAGTAAGTGATCTTTAAGTTTTCTAGCTGTAATCCTATAATGACAGGCCACTATGTCCCACAACTAGCACACCTCATTGCTCAGTCAGGACTAAAATGCAATCTGAAGGGCATAGCTGTGAGTTCAGAATAGAACACAGATTTCTGATATTACCAGTTTTCTTCCATTCGTGCTCTCAAATCATATTTCATGGAGAGCTAATATTTCACTATGTTTTCAGGTAGGAAATGCTTTATTGGAGTTCAACACAGATCTTAACTCTGAGGGCGACTATTATTGGGCTCATGGGTTGATATCAGATGCTACTTATAAACTCCTCAATTCAGTTTGTAACACTTCACAGATATGGAGAGAGAGCATAACAGGCTCTAAGTTCGCTGCTTGCGTGGATGTGAATAAGAAACTTTCGATAGAATTTCCTAAAGCATTTGATGATTACAACATCATTGGCGACATTTGCATATCATCTGGTGAATCACAGTTGGACGTCCCCAGTTACCCCTTTAGACCAAAGTTTCAAGTTTCATCATCCATTCAATCAGTGCTTGAGGCACTCGATCAGACTGTAAGTTCTCCCTGGGTGACCCTATTATGCAAGCTGTTTTACCTTTGGTTTTAACTTTGTCATTGGGTTTATTTATTTATTTTTTTTGTGTTTATGCAGAAAGATTCTGAGAAAATAGATGTTTGTGTGCAACGAAAATCATCCCAATATTTAAACAGGAAAGACGTGCAAGAAGCTCTCCATGCTCAGCTTGTAGGAGTCACGAGATGGACAGGTTGCAGCAGGTAATACTTTTCTCTCTGCTTTGAAGCAGGATAGCTTTCTTGATCTTGCAGGTCCCATATTATTTATTTATTTTTTTTCTGACAATAGGGTGTTTCAATAAGTTATATTATTTACCTTTTCTTTGTAGTGTGGTAAATTATGATCTGCTAAACTTAGAGATACCTACAATCAATATTGTGGGTTCACTGGTCAGTTCAGGCATTCGGGTCCTAGTCTACAGGTAACTCAACAAGCTTTTTATCTCTTATTTACAATTAGCCAATGTTACTAATATTTATAACATAAGTTGAAATAACTTCTACAGTGGAGATCAAGATTCAGTTCTCCCTTTTATTGGAAGCAGAACTTTGGTTGATGGTTTGGCGAAAGAGTTGGGATTGAATGCAACCGTGCCTTATAGACCTTGGTTTGAGGATAAGCAGGTTAGGCTAGCTATTGCAGTAAATTTCATCAACAATTAAACTTGGTGCTTCATTTCTGTTCAAATAGGTCAGCTTTTCTTCTCAGGTTGGTGGATGGACACAGGTTTATGGTCATATCCTAACATTTGCAACCATCAGAGGAGCTGGACATTTAGCACCATTGACATCTCCTAAGAGATCCTTGGCCTTATTTGCAGCTTTTCTGTCTGGAAAACCCCTTCCAGAGGCATTGCCCAATTAAAATGTTCATAATTTGTTTATAGAACTGATTTGCTTTTATGTATGTGTTTATATGCTTGATCAGCAATGCCAAATTCAATGTCTGTGGTATGAAAACGAATTTTAATGCCTATGCAATGATATTGAATCTTCAAGCAACTTAAAGTTTTCTACCTTTGTTCTGATAATTCAAGTACTTGATTTTATTTTTATTCTATGAAGAAAAACAAGATTACATTGAAGGCTAATCTAAAGGTTTAAAATATGAAGTTTGAAAACAGAAAGAAGAAGAAGAAGCAGCAGCAGCATCAGCATATAACTAGAGTTGTTCAAGATATATCTTCACCACATGAAATGTTTCGTAGCCATCCCATTCAACTCGGTTATTGATAGAGTCAAAATTCGGCTATTTCGGATTGTTGGCTCAAATCAACACCTAAGATGCTGTGACAAAAATGTGAAATGAGTGTCAATCGACTTTGTTATGTTGTGGAGACCGATACGGATAGAGGACCCACGAGTACAAGGCACTAACTAGTTAACGAGCGGGGGTCAAGGAAGCGAGTGCTCGCCCTCGATAGGTCTACTGAATATTAGGCTAGGTGTATAGGCTCGTTAGGCTTTTTTTTTTTTCTTTTATAACTCTAGTTGTCCACACTATAAATAGTGGCAACATCACTTGTATCTATAACCGTCATTTGACAAAACCTAATAAGAAATCCTAGTTCGGTTATGGAGTAAGCGCTATTATCAAACTACGTAAAATTTTTGTGTTGTGTGATTGTTTTAGCCTTTCTACTTTATTCTTTTACTTGATTCATTTCCTAACAACTGGTATTAGAGCCATAGGTTAGCAAGGAGGAATGATGGTAGAAGAAGGAAAATTGAATATTGACAAGTTTGATGGCAAAGACTTTAGGCTCCGGAAGATGCAGATTGAATACTATCTCGCATCGGAAGAAGCTACTCAAACCCCTATCGGGGAAGAAGCTAGAGGGAAAGAAAGACGCTGATTGGGTTTTATTGGATCGCCAACCTTTAGGTGTTATTCGGTTAATATTGACATGAAACGTTGCTTTCAACATCGTAAAGAAAAGACCATCGCGAGATCTCATGATGACACCATCAAATATGTATAAGAAGCCATCGAGTCTCAAACAAGGTATTTTTGATGCGTTTATTATTCAATCCGAAGATGATAGAGGGTGCGTCTATGACTAATCACATTAATGAAGTTAATGTGTTGATTGGTTAATTACGATCGATAAGCATTGTATTTAGCAATGAAGTTAAGGCAACGATTTTGCTATCTTCTTTACTTAATAGCTCGTCTAGAACGAGTAACAATGGTAATCGATTCATCAAGGATGAGAAACTAAAATTGGATGATGTTTGAGACTTAGTGGTTAATAAAGATCTTTATAGGAGTGAGTCGGGATAACCTTCAAGTTTTTTCTTTGAGTACTATAAACGAGAGGAAGACACTTTTAGCGGGGTTAGAATCATGGTCATGGTAGGTCAAAATCAAAAGGCGAGAGAGAAATTCAAAAATCATAAAGACGTCACTTGTTGGAATTGTGAAAAGAAAGGGCACTTTAAAAATCCATATAAGGCTCGAAGAAGAAGAAGAATCGGGATGATGACTCTACATATAGGACGACAAATGAAATTATACACACATTAATTTACGGTGTAGATAGTCCCATTGAGTCTTGAATTTTAGACTCATATGCATCATTTTATTCTACTTCATGTAAAAATTTCCTACAAATATATATTCCCGGGAATTATAGCAAGGTTTGTCTTACGGATGATGAACCTTTGGATATTATGGGAAAATATGAGATTAGTATTAGAAGTGCCGATGGAATGTAGTGGAAACTATTGAATGTTAGGCATATTCTAGGTTTTAAAAAGAATATGATTTCTATGAATAAACTCGATGATATTAGATACATAATAATATTTGAAAGTGGTTCATGGAAGATAATAAAGGGGAATATGGTTGTAGCACAAGGCAATAAGGTTGAGACTTTATACATAAGCTGCTATAAGAAGGGATACAACGAGTAGTGGTTAATTATAATGGTGATGGAGATTCGATATGATGGCATCAAAGGGTTGGGAAAATGAGTGAAAATGGTTTGAAGTAGTTAGCATTAAAGGGAAAATAACTAGAATTGAAATATATTGATGTTGGCTTATACGAGGCCTACATCTATAGAAAACAGAAGAGAGTTTGTTTTCTAAAGTCGAGCAAATCCTTAAAAGAAGAGAAGCTAGAATTGGTGCATATAGATGTAAGGGGACCAACCCTTGTGACTTCTCTTAGAGGCCCATACTATTATTTCACTTTCACTAACGACTCCACTGAGAAAGGTATGGATTTATTTTTTAAATAATAAATCGATGTGTTTGTTGTATTCAAAAGGGGAAAGACTAAAGTTGAAAATCATACTTGGTTTAAAGATTAAATCCTTGAAGTCGGATAATGAAGGAGGGTACGTTACCATAGAATTCAAAGATTATTATTCGGGAAATGAGATCGAATGATCAAGATAATTCCTATGAAACTAGAGAAAAATGATATTGTTGAAAGGATAAATAGAACTTTGAATGACTAAGCAAGAAGCATGAGATTGCATTCGGTTTGCCCAAAACATTTTGAGCTGATGTAATGACTACAACAACTTAACTTATAAATAAAGGACCTTCAATTCCATTGGGCTTCATATTACATGAGGAAGTATGGTAAGAAAATGAAGTAAGTTTCTCACACTTGAAAACTCTTAGTTGTGTTTCATATGTACATGTAGGATCTAATGATAGAGATAAGATTGATTCTAAGGATAAAAAGTGTTACTTTATTGGCTATGGCTCTAATTATTTTTGTTATCGATTTTGGGATGATCAAAATAGGAAGATCATAAGGTATAAGAATGTGATGCGAACCAACATACCTTGTAGTTCATGGAACGGTATGAGGATAATAGAAGCTAACCAAAAATTGCCAGCCTAATTCTAAGATTTTTTGGACCTATTTTGATGCTAAAAAAGCCAACGAGCAAAACACATTGGCTATACCTATGATGTAGGGGTGATTTTGACTAAAAAAATATCGTTTAGGCCTTTAAAATCTACTTTTATTATTTTTTGAGATTTTTTTTAAATTTTTAGTATTTTGTTCCCTTTTTGATTTGCTTTAGGGTTTTGGTTGAAATTTACTATTTATGCATGACTTTGAGATAAAAAAATGACACTTTTCTTGATTAATAAAGTTTTATGAGAGAGTATATCGAGTTTTATCTCAATTTTTGACATTCTTTGAATCAACAAATTGAAACTTATTTCTTGATATTTGTGCATAATTCAATAGGTTATAATAGATTAATATCTGAATTTTATATTAACAATGTTTATTTTCTTCTTGTGAGTTTCCACTACGTTAGTTGGTAATAGAGCCTGGTTGTTGCTATTCGACCATGCCACTAAGGAGGCGATAATAATGGGATATGGATGAGATTTATGAGTGCACTATTGTGGTATATTTAGAATAACTATTTTAGCAGATGAATGATAGAATGAAGCTCGTCATTACATTAGTTGACATAACGGATGGGGGTGTTAACACAATAGATGGGTGTGCTTGATGATGATCATGGGCAAAGGTCATCGATATCGAGCTTACCATCGAACCGAAAGGCATCGGATACTGGAATGGGTGATGAGGAGGATGAAGAAGATGTTCCATATATGCAAAAGAGGATTCCTATGAGAGAATATGACAATAGGAGATAGGAAATTGGTATGTAGATTAAGATTTTCAAATTTTATGATACCTTCCAAACAAAAGAGTTCTTAGATTGGTTGTCAATGATGGAAGAGATTTTGGAATTTAAGAAAGTCATTAAGGACAAACATGTGTCTTTAGTAGCCACCAAATTTTATAAAAGAGCAATAAGTTGGTGGGAGTAATCGAAATTGACCGTAAACGAGTATAGGTAAACCTAAGAATAATTTTTTTAAAAAATTAAAGAAGCTCATGCGTATTGCCTTCATGTCTTTATAACTCTCGGAAGATGATATACCAACGAGTTATAGGATTTCGGACGAGGGACCCAATTAGTAGATGATTATACCACCGAGTTCTACCGGTTGCCGACTTGAAATGAATTATAGAAGATAGAGGATTAGTTGGTGGTGACATATATTAGTGGTCTAAAACCGTAGGTTAAGGATTTGTTAATATGTTTGACCTTAAATATCTTTCTGCTACCTTTCGGAAAGCACTATAGGTTGAGAATGAGTCATGTTGGAGTAGCTTTATTAACCCCTTCAACATGGGAAGTAGTAGTGACACAAGTGGTAGTGGTGGTGGTATAGTTGAGCGGGGAGAAGAAAGTAGCAAGAACACCAAAGTTTCTAAACATATCAATAGGGCGAGTTGATATCAATATAAAATGCTTTAGGTGTGGTAAAGTTGACCACGGATAGTCCTAGTGTCAAAAGGCAAGGAAAAGATCACTTCTTGTTGATGTTGAAGATTATGATGAAGGTCGATATAGAGTTGATTGGTGATCTAGTTTATGATGATAGAGATATCCTAGAAGAGGAGGTTATGATGGGTGATGAGGGAACAACACTGGTTGTTAGGTCCCATTTGACTCCTCAAGTTATTGATGATGATTGGCTAAGGAGTAAAATTTTTCAATCCATTTATATAATTTGGGGTAAGGTATATCGTCTTTTCATTGATATCGATGGTTGTGAGAATATTATTTCGATGAAGCGAGCAAAAACCGAATCTCAAGACAGAGGGGGACCTTAAGCTTTATAAGCAAGTATAGCTTAAAAAAGAGAAAGAGGTAACTATTTCTCAATGACCTTTAGTTTCCTTTTGTATTGGCTCTAAGTATAAAGATGATGTATGGGGTAGTGTTGATGCAATGGATGCATGTCATTTACTATTGTGTAGACCTTGGTAGTATGATAAGAGTGTAATTCATGATGCACGAGCCAACA